TTGTTGCTGTATCAGATGCACTGATATCTTCTGCGGTAAAATATCACAAGAAAAGTAATATGATAAACTGTTCATATAGTAAAGAAAGTCTTTGGTGCATTTATAGAAGTCACATGTAAATACTGGTTGTAAACAGTCAGTTCAATAAACTTCAAAGTCGTTGGCCCAGTAAAACTAGACGCTTCTTTAAGTTCTTGTTTTTTTATAAATTTTTTGAAAATTACCTTTAAAAGCTCTTGTTTTTATTATGTATCATAGTTACTTCTGATATCACTTTAGTGGTATAAGCTGATCGAACAGTTAGTTGCTCAACATTCTGGTTAAGTTAATGTAATTTATTTGACTATGTGACTATCTAGTTACCGAAAAAAACTGGTTACAATTTACGGTTCTTTTTAGTGTAAAATGCATTAAATGTTTACTTTGCCATCAACTAATAAAATCGTCAATTGAAACTGAGAGTGTCTTTGTTTTCTTTTGTTTATTTGAAACTATGATTTTTTGAATTTGTGTTAATAAGCACCGTTGTTGGCGATAAATCGAATAGTTTTGACTTCTGTAGTAGCAAAAAAGAAGTGCTAATAGTTAAGACATTTACCAAAAACTGCCAAAGATCTGTTTTACCATTATCATCGCTTCTAAAAACTTTTTTTGAATTCTGTAGATCTTTCAAACACTGCTTCACTACTGCAGCAGAACAAGTAGAACACGAAGTAAGTATGACTGCTCAGTTTAAGCGCTAATCACCTTCGTTGGAAGTATCTGACAGCAGACAGAGGTAATTGAATAGTTGCATTTCTAAACGGCAGCAGCTTCTAGGCATAACCAAATTCTGACACACGGCATATGGAAATTTAGTCCACTTCTGGGTGTACAGTCACACTCTCAATAAATTTTGCCTTTATTTGGTTTCTGATGATTTTGTAGCATGCTTCTGGCAACTTAGGCATTCTATTAATTTTTTTCTGAACAAGTCATGGTCTGCTTTTACAACGACCCGTAGTTTTCACTTAAAGAGTTTTTCCTTTTTTTTTTT